CATGTGACTTTCAGAGATGTACACGAGTTCAAACATTAGAACAAACTTTGTATGACTGTTCATACTTCACTTCTGTCACAATCAATATGTAATGAGATGTTTCAAGATCAAGCTCCTGGTTATCTATGTAGTCTCGTTCCTCAAAAACTTTGCCAAGTTTATAACTATAATACTAGAAAGGCATTTAATGTTCAAAACATGAACTGTAGAACTTCTTTTTATCAAAATTCCTCCCTATTATCTGTTATTCGTGAAAGGAACAGCCTTCCACAATATGTAAGATGTAATCCATCAAAAATCACACTTCAAAATTATTCAAATCGTGATATTAAGAAAGTCCCTTCATATTTTAATACTGGTTGTAGAAAAGGCCAAATACTTCATGCCAGACTCCGGTTGAACTGCAGTGGCTCAAATGAATATCTTTTTTCTGAAAATTATTGTCCTTTCCAGCCACTGTATATGTGGACAAGTTGAGAGCAGCAAACACTATCTGCTAGAGTGTCATAACTATAGAATCATCAGGACACAAATCATTTCCACACTACCAAGACATGTTAATATAAAAACATTATCATCAGTTAGAGAACTCATCAGTGATGAGGAAAAAGAAAAAAATTCTAAAGTTGTACAAAGTTTTATTTTGGAAACAGGGAGATTTGGTCCATAAAACTTTTATTTTCATGTCAATTTAGATGTTGAAACTTTATAATTTAACTTTATATTTTGAGACATTTACATATTTTCACAGCTACATGTGAGACCACAATTAGAAATGAGTTGATCACATCTTTCGATTAAACTGACTTCCGAGTAACGTTAAAACCACAGAATAAACATGTAATGTTAATTGAAAATTATATTATAGAGGGTTTCTTTACACTATTTTCCCAAGGTTGTCATTTTGTGAAGGGAGACTGATTTATATAAGTTCTTCTTGTTTCCGAATCCCTGTATTTCTATTGTATAATTGTAATTTGTGCACTTTTGAAAAATAAGATATTGTTTAAACTAATGAGATATATTGAATTGTCTTAGGTACATTATTAGTAATAAAATCATACTGTAATCGGAGTTAATGTGTTTTTCATAATTATGCAATAAGTTTAGAAGCAGATACAAAATATACCCTAGTTTATTTTTGTTATTGTTACCAACATTCAAAACTAGTCGCCTAGTAGAATAAGTTGGACACGTTGATTGCATATAACTGTTCGTTTCATTTTGATTGATTGATTGATTGATTGATTGATTATAGTATTGATTGTTATCTTTAAACGTTACTTACAGTGGTATACTACTGTTGCCTTTATTAACAGTATTTCTCGATCTTTCATGTTGGCCATTTTTTATTGGTAAAGGTAGTCGACGTTCCCGACGTGAACTAGCGACCGCCGACAAATACGTTTTCTTTTGATAGAGGAGAAAAATAATGTCGATTTTTTTTCAAAATGAAATAATATAAAAGATACTGTTTGTATAAGTATATAATTTTCACAGAACAAACAAAATTCAAAACTGAAATCAATTAAAAAACATATTATAAGTTTGGCTTTGGAAACATACTGTAATAATGTACCTATAATTAACCCATCGCTTGTGTGTGTTTTTATACATCCCAAAATGTCAAAATGATGTTAAAATTAATATATCTAATAGGGGAATTGAATGTTAAATATATGCAGCAAAACCCCAGCTATTTCTTTTCTGTGCATGTACATCTTGACGACATGGTGACGAACATTAGGTGTCTCTATAAAACAAATTCCTTGTCCTTTGCAGTGATAATCCGGTTCGTTTGTGCACAGTGGGTATTTGTTGAATGACAACTTTGACTAACTAACATAGTGGAAGCAACATACAGATCATTTTATAATGTTGTGTCTTGTAAAAGTTCAAATGTCATTTACATCCTACTACAATGTTCCATATGTGGCCTCCTCCAGAACTAGAAATTAAAGAAACAACAGACACGACTTCCTCCGCCTCATTTTTAGACTTATACTTCAAATTTGACATAAGCAGTCATCTCAGTACAAGAATCTATGACAAACTAGACGATTTAAATTTTGAAATTATCAATTTCCCCCACCTTAGTAGCAATATATCAACTTCACCCTGCATATGGGATATACATTTCCCAACTCATTCGGTATTCAAGAGCTTGCAGCTCTACCAAGACTTTATAAAACGTCAACAGTATCTGAGCTGAAAGTTGATGAACCAGGGTTATGTCAAAGAACGTCTCGTAATTTTTCTAAAAAAATTTCATCGGAAGATACCAAGACCTTTTTGATATATATTCCGTATCAAATTTACAAATAATACATGATGATCTTGAAGTATAGATTCTAGGTACTGACGTTGTTTATCATCTTAATTACGTGTTATAGTGTTCTTTTATTTGTCTTTTAATTTAACATAACAATATCTTTATTGCATATTTGCTATAACGACTTACTTAGTTTACAGCTTTTAACTTAGTATCCCTCATGTTAGTTTACCTAATAGTTAAGGGAAGCACGATTTGGTAATATATAACTTCTTCATAATATTACTATCTACGATATAATTCATTCCATAAATGAATTTGATAAATTATTGTGAATACACATACGGATCTTTGTTTTTTTTTTCTTCCTTTTTTATATAAATTAGTTTTCCGGAATCAACTGCGTTATCGATGTGATCCGTGTTCCATTTAATTTGGGCACAGTGCTGCTCCAGCTAACATGTGCGCTATCAGATAGATATGTGTCATCTAAATATTATTATTATAAACAGGATTTAACTAATTGGATAACATTTGGTGAGTATACAAGTTTTTTGTTTTGTTATCTACTGATCTTGTCTATGTCGACGTGTATATATATTGCACAAGTTATAACATTCATCTGAGATTACACATTATTTCTCTACACTAATTAACAATCGTGTTGAGACATGTATATCTATTTTTGTTTAACGTTTGTGAATACACAATTTAAAATCTAATAATACAGTATGTTACATGTCATGACTCGTGCATGGTTGAACATGCTTACAAACATATCTTGTACACATGCATGGTTGAACCCGTTAATAAATATGACCATATTTGGCTTGTGCACAATTAACAATTTTGCATAAAATGTTATGTACTTACTATAGAAGTATTGTTTCAAAACATCTAACATAGATTTAATTCTGATTCATTTGATTCTTTGTAATGAATCTATTTGTTTTTAGAATTATCTCACTATTATTTTTGTTATTAAAATTGTTTTTTTTCAATAACTTCTGAAATTTCTTTCTGAAAATTTTTAAAAATGTTTGTTTTTGTTGTCTTTTTTTCTGAGACATAATGTACTTTGTATATTGAGAAAGATATTATCGTTAATATGTAATTAATATCAAAGTATGCTGCGTCTTCAATTTTGTACCCTATTACTAAATTTTCAAGGCTTATAATGACTTTGTCAATACCAAGGGATTTCATTAATTTCATTACTATAATTAGAAAGTCATTATTAAATGAGCAATTGACAAAAAAGTGTTCATAGTCTTCTTTTTGTTTACAATGCTTACATAAGTTGTCCTCAGTAATTTTCCACTTTTTAAAAAGTTCGTTACATGGCAGTATGTAGTGAATAAGTTTCCATCTAAATATTTCCAATCTTTTATCAGTGAGATATTGAAAAATAAAAACAAAATTATATTTGAACTTATACTTTAAATTTTTCTCAATTAGTTTTTCCAACATAAGGAAAACATTGAATTTATCACAACTTTCTTTTAGTGTGAAGATTTTATAGAGTTCTTTTGTGCTCATTACGGGAGTTATAGTCTTGTGCATCATTTTTAAGTCATTTACGACTTTAACCTTAGTTTCAATAGAATCTTCTGTACGAAGAGTTGTTTTCCAAATAATTGGTATTGCTTTTTTTAACATGTATATTTGCTTTATCCAATTTTGTTTATATATGAGTTTAGATAAGATGATAGTTTCAGAGATTTTACCCTGTTCATCAATGATATCGTTTATATTGGTAATGTCACTTTTATCCAATCTTCAAGGTTTAAGCATTTTCTGTTAATCCTGATATCATCGTTTCCCCACAGAACTTGTTTTCGTATTTCAAGAAAATTTTTGGGATACTTTGTATAACCTCCTTTTACACTTATCCAATCTTACATCAAACATACAGGTCATTTTATAATGTTGTGTCTTGTAAAAGTTCGAATGTCATTTACATCCTACTACAATGTTCCATATGTGGCCTCCTCCAGAACTAGAAATTAAAGAAACAACAGACACAACTTCCTCCGCCTCATTTTTAAACTTATACCGCGAATTTGACATAAGCGGTCATCTCAGAACCAGAATCTATGACAAACGAGACGATTTTCATTTTGAAATTATCAATTTTCTCCACCTTAGTAGCAATATATCAACTTCATCCTGCATATGGGATATACATTTCCCAACTCATTCGGTATTCAAGAGCTTGCAGCTGCTACCCAGACTTTATAAAACGTCAACAGTATCTGAGCAGAAAGTTGATGAACCAGGGTTATGTCAAAGAGCGTCTCGTCATTTTTCTAAAAAAAAGTTCATCGGAAGATACCAAGACCTTTTTGATATATATTCCGTATAAACTTTACAAATAATACATAATGGTCTTGAAGTATAGATTCTAGGTACTGACGTTGTTTATCATATTAATTACGTGTTATAGTGTTCTTTTATTTGTCTTTTTATTTAACATAACAATATTTTTATTGCATATTTGCTATAACGACTTAATTAGTTTCATCTTTTAACTTAGTATCCCTCATGTTAGTTTACCTAATAGTTAAGGGAAGCACGATTTGGTAATATATAACTTCTTCATAATACTACTATCTATGATATAGTTCATTCCATAAATTAATTTGATAAATTATTGTGAATACACATACGGATCTTTGTTTTTTTTTCTTCCTTTTTTATATAAATTAGTTTTCCGGAATCAACTGCGTTATCGATGTGATCCGTGTTCCATTTAATTTGGGCACAGTGCTGCTCCAGCTAACATGTGCGCTATCAGATAGATATGTGTCATCTAAATATTATTATTATAAACAGGATTTAACTAATTGGATAACATTTGGTGAGTTAATTAGTTGTTTATAAAAGTCCGGTAAATATTGTAACTTATTTTTATTAATGTCGTTTATATTCTTTGTCTTCATTTTAAATACTAGAAGATTTTTTCCTAATTTGTTGAAATAAAATTTGGGTATAATTGTGCACAATTAACAATTTTGCATACAATGTTATGTACTTACTATAGAAGAATTGTTTCAAAACATCTAACATAGATTTAATTCTGATTCATTTGATTCTTTGCAGTGAATCTATTTGTTTTTAGAATTATCTCACTATATTTTTTGTTATTAAAATTGTTTATTTCAATAATTTCTGAAATTTCTTTCTAAAAATGTTTAAAAATGTTTGTTTTTGTTGCCTTTTTTTCTGAGACATAATGTATTTTGTATATTGAGAAAGATATTATCGTTAATATGTAAATAATATCAAAGAATGCTGCGTCTTCAACTTTGTACCCGATCACTAAATGTTCAAGGCTTATAATGTCTTTATCAATACCAAGGGATTTCATTAATTTCATTAATATAATTAGAAAGTCATTATTAAATGAGCAATTTGCAAAAAAGTGTTTATAGTCTTTTTTTTTTACAATGCTTACATAAGTTGTCCTCAGTAGTTTTCCACGTTTTTAAAAGTTCGTTACATGGGAGTATGAAGTGAATAAGTTTCCATCTAAATATTCCCAATCTTTTATCAGTGAGATATTGAAAAATAAAAACAAAATTATATTGGAACTTAGAATTTAAATTTGTCTCAAATAATTTTTCCCACATAAGAAAATTATTTAGTTTATCACAACTTTCTTTTAGTGTGACGATTTTATAGAGTTCTTTTGTGCTCATTACGAGAGTTATAGTCTTGTACATCATTTTAAGTCATTTACGACTTTAACCTTAGTTTTAATAGAATCTTCTGTACGAAGAGTTGTTTTCCAAATAATTGGTATTGCTTTTTTAAACATGTATATTTGCTTCTTCCAATTTTGTTTATATTAGAGTTTAGATAAGATGATAGTTTCAGAGATTTTACCCTGTTCATCAATGATATCGTTTATATTGGTAATGTCACTTTTTATCCAATTTTGAAGGTTTAAGCATTTTCTGTTAATCCTGATATCATCGTTTCCCCACAGAACTTGTTTTCGAATTTCAGGAAAATTTTTGGGATACTTTGTATTACCTCCTTCTACACTAATCCAATATTTAATTAGTTGTTTTTAAAAGTCTGGTAAATATTGTAACTTATTTGTATTAATGTCGTTTATATTCTTTGTATTCATTTTAAAATGCAAGAAGATTTTTTCCTTATTTGTTGAAATAGAATTTGGGAATAATTGTCCAATTATTATTTTTATCTTCACTTTATTTGAGAATCCAGCTGATATGCAGTGATTTAATGTACACATCAATGTCTGTCATCTTAAGGCCCCCTTCTAAAAAATGTGGATCTTTTTATTTTGTCTCTTTAACCTTTCCAAATAAAATTGTATATTAAAGTTTTAAAATCTTGCAACATTTCTTTAGGCATAATAGTGTTTGATGCAATATATGTTAGGTTTGGCAGAACAAGTGATTTGATGACAAATATTTTTCCTATTATAGTGACATTTCTTTTACTCAATTCATATACTATATTTTTACATTTTAAAAGTTGTTTTTCGAAGTTCAATTTTTGACATTCTTATTTATTGTAACCAAAGTAAATTCCAAGGCTTTTGATAGGTGAAGTACTACAATTTATATCATAACATTTTTCCCGACAATGTTTCAATTGGCCTAGCCATAAACCTTCAGTTTTGTTGCGTATATCAAACATATCCTTTTGATCATTCAAATTATAAACTAGTACGCATTTTACTTTTTTGATTACAGTCATGTCAATGAGGTAAATTGTATACTTTGAGACAAGTCACCTGACCAGTAAAGATCTGTCTAATTTATTTTAAGCTAAAACAATACGTAATGCTCTGCAATAAATGCGACTGAATAGAGTTGTACTGCAGCGATATATCTATAAATAAACAGATGGCTTAAGACGACAACATCTTTAAGTGTTTAAGATCACAGTAAAAGCTATGTAAGACTTAAACTCATTTGACAGGATATATGATATGGGCATCTAACCTATAAAATTAATATATAACTTATCTTTTTTATTTGTTTTGAATAGGACCTTCTTGTAAAACAAGAAAATATTATTAAAAATGATAAGCAGAACATGCAGAAGATATACTCGACGCAGGTGTCTACGTTTGTTGTGTTTACTATGTTTAATGTACGTTGCTTTTACATATGTGTCGGGGTATTTGGTGCAAAGAAATGTTTTGGAATTTTATTCTAAACCGGATGAATGTATGAGGTTAAAAAATTGTGAAAATGAAAAAGGGAGACCTATGGGTTTAAACAGTAAAGAAAATATATCTACAAATGGAAAATTACAATCATTTCAAAAACTGGAATATGTGGAGACCTCTGACTCAAGAGTTTATATGTTATCTGCTTATTTTATCAAGAAGATGGAAGAACAAAAGGATAATATCGTTACCGTCATTGGTTGGGAAGAAAAGAAAAATCACTTTAGTAAATTTAAATGTTGCTTTCGTCTGCAAAAAGGCAAACGTATGGTTATTAAGTCAAAAAAATGGTATATATATTCATATCCGAACAGTCTTCTTCGACGAGTACAATTTACTTGTCCAATATCAACTGAGTCAAAATCGATCGAAGGAGTATCAATTATAACTGATTTTAAAAGAACTTGTCATAAAGAGTCCAAATACTATATCCAGGTGCAAACGCCATTGCAAGGTGAATTAGCTGTATGTACTACTGTTCTGTATGGATCTTTATCTGCTGAACTGCTACTAGAATGGTTTGAAGTTCAACGGATAATTGGAGTTGAAAAGACAGTAACGTATACATTTGAACTAAATAAGGATGCAATGAAGATATGTGAATATTACGAGTCTATAGGATTTACAGTGTTGGTTCGTGTTGCTGATTTTCCTGCTAGAGGTAATGATGTTCCCTATAGTAATCAAAGTACAACAATACAGATTGTTATGGTTAATTAAGGCGAGAGTAGTTTAACGATCTTCAGTATGCTAAATTAGTGACGTGTAACATGATTAATAAATTTGAAAAATATTCGGTCGTCATCGGGGTTCACGATCTTTTGTTACTATAACAAGGTGTCATCTTTTCGTAACTTTCATATTAAGAATTACATGAAACTTAAATCGGTCGCTTTTGCTTTTCTGTCAACAAAAAAGTCAATTCATATCGGAATATTCAAAAACAAATATTTTGCATGAAGAGTGTGTACATGTGAAGATCGGGAAAACATATTACAGCCCTTGGATAGTGTAAACTTCCCGAAAAAAAAAAAACATGTATGGTGTAATGGTGTATGGCATATGGTGCAATGGTAGAAGGTGTATGGTGCTATGGTGTATGGTGTAAGGGGATTGGTGTAATGGTGTAACGTGCGATCGGGAATGGTGTGAATGAATGATGTACGACATTTAAAACTATGCAAAATATTGATAAGAACTGATTTTTAATTTAATACATTAATTTACAATATTGTGATCACAATTCGTTTTTCAAAATAAATAAATAATTTTGTAGTCGCACGCTTTCTTTGAAATTAAATTGCATTATGGTGTAATGTGTAAGGTGTATGGTGCAAAGGTGTAACGTGTATGGTGTAATGGTACAGGGTGTATGGTGTAATGGTATATGGTGAATGGTGTAATGGTGTATGGTGTTAGAGGGAAGTTTACACCATCCAAGGACTGTATCATATAGTTATGAGCTACATGTAACATGTTATTGAGATATAAATCAGTTCAATAATTGTCATAGTGAGTTTTGACTGGCTTTGTAGTTTTGCTACTATAAATAGACTTACCAGCTTGAGAACCGAAGATGGAATTTAAAGAGAATGGGAAGTCTTCCAGAGGTTACGAAAGTTTGGTTGTTTGCAATAATGGCTTTGTGCTTTGGTTAACGACGAAAGTCACAATATACAACAAAACTAATTATGAGCATCCCTTATATCATCCAGACTTTTAATTGCTGGTGTCTCAGAACTCCCCACCTCGTTACCATGATAACGGGCGACATTCAAAGATGGCGTGTGAACCTTCAACTTCAAGAGCCCGGCACACCCCAAAGAACTATACCAATGAATGAAATAAAGTTGTATCTGGTTGAAAAAGATGTTATCTTTCCTGTAACAGCTGTTTCTTGCTTTAAATTTGCCCTTTTATAATAAAAGATAACAGAAGTGACATACAATCAAACCATGCCCACACCAAAAGACAACTTTCTTGTCAATTAAGAAAATGTTGTATTCATTTTAAAAACAAGAAACAGCAATCTTGGTATTCATGAGCTTTCCGAGAATAAATATGCCAAGTTTTAAAGAGATCAATAAATATTAACGGGGTGCGCCAATTTGATCTTTATAAATGAATAATACTCAAGTCCTTTCGCGGCGACATTTAAACACTGAAATAATTCAGATCGAATATTCCCCTTTATGGTATCAAAATGCCTGGACAGAAATAAACGGCATTGTGATAGTTTTTGACTAGAAATGGACACATTAAAAATGTAAAACAATGTTATTTTTTCATTTTTATACTTGAAGGTGTTCACGAATCTTGAAAAAAAAATCACGGTGCATACGAATGTCATGAGGGAAAAAAGGGGGGATACTCTAACGTTATACTATATAAGATATTGTAAGAGCTTTCGTAACCCCTTATTCATTTCTAACTACACATATGTGACGATTGTAAATCAAATTAACTTTGTTACTTTCTTAACTTCGATCCTCATATGGTTTTTACGACTTTAAGATATGACCAAGGATTAGTAAGATAACGAGATAACGAACGAAAAAAGTCTTTCTAAAACAAATTGATTCTCCTGATAAGAAAAAAAAACACATTTAACAAGCACTAGTACATCGAAGTATGAAACCCCTTCCGTCAAACTCATGTTTCATGAGAAATATTAATTTGCTCAGCCCTGCATGATAAAGTTTTTTTTTCAATGTTTTTTTTTAAACAGTTATAAATAGATAGTATTGAAAACCGTCACATGATATGTGTAAATAGATCTTTTTTGAAACAATATCGGTTAAAGTTGGATTAACTAGAGCTATGTTCATTTGTTAAACATGCATCATTCATTCATTGCAGTCTCTTGAATAGTAAATTAATAAATTCAAAAACAGGTCCATGCATTGGTCCAGAATTTAAACCAGAACAAAATATAGTACTAGGTCATGTACATGATGTAGGTAAATACAGTATGAACTTATTTTCTATTGTTATAGAAAAACAATAAAATAAGAGATTTTCTTTAAGAGATGAAACTATTTGTTTATTCAATAAAGTTGTATGCATGTGAAAGCCATTGCTTCTTCAAGAGTTCATTATAAGTATTATGTGACTATTAAAAACATAATGTCTATTTCATTTCAAATAGTTTTCTAAAACTTAATACCAAAAGCATTGTATATGTCACATTAAACTGAAAATCCTTTTCATAATGCGTACAATACTTTCTTGTGTTTTTCCATGATCCATAATAAATGTAGAAATATATCATACTACTGATTCTCATATGTTAATGTAATACTGGAAAATTCTTTATTCCTAAACTTGTCTTTTATTTCACTTGTAACATGCAAAGAATATTCCTATATACATGTAAAATATTGTGAATGACAATATATATACCAGTAAGTACATGCAGTTACCAGTCTGCCAAATATGATGTTTGAATTATAATTCTCACTCAGTTCACAGTTTTAAGTATATATCCAAAATTATCTCAATAACTGGCATATGATGAATAATGATATGAACATTTTCTTTTGTGTGTTGATCTTACAAGCAAGAAGTGCACAGTCATTTCCTCTGGTGTAAGACTTTTATTTCTTTGTCTTCAATGATCCAGAGTCAGTTTTAACAGTAATGTAATCCTTCCTTTTGTTGTCATACTGAAAATTGGTACATTCCAAAAGTCACATATCACATGTGACATGGCATGGAGTTATTTCATATTCAGCACTGTTATAGTTTTGTTATATGTCCTCAAGCTTTTATCTTTAAAACATTCATTTCACTTTCTTTTCATGCATGGATCTAAAACTATCCCCATATACGGTTATAAATTGTCTGACAATTTCCTTGTGTGTGTTGATCTTCAAAAGAAACAAGTGGCTACGATATATGCTTTTTTGTGCTTCTTTGTTAAATATTTGTTTGTTTTTGTTGTGATTAAGATTGTGACACGGTGTTGACTGCTGTACCTCTATTTTGACATTTTTACCTTTTATGTCTGTTTGTTTTATTCACGCATCGTTATCAATATAATGGAATTTGATGCGACTGTCATACAAGTGAGAGGTTTAGCGCTATGAAACCAGGTTCGATCCACTATTTTCTACATAAGAAAATGCCTGTACTAAGTCAGGAATATGACAGTTGTTGCCCATTCGTTTGATGTGTTTGTGTAAATGCTTTTTTGTTCCGACGTTGAAAAGTTTCTGGCGGAAAAAAACTAACTAGCCGAAAAGTTCCGGAGGAACTTATTAACTAGTTACTTTGTTCTTCCTCTTGTTTAAAAGTTCCACCGGAACAAAGTGACTAGTTGAAAAGTTCCAACGGAACATATCAACTAGTTAGAAAGTTCCTTTTTGCCAAATTAGTCAAAACCGGAACTAACAAACTAGCCCAAAAGTTCCAACGGAACTTATCAACCAGGCAGAAAGTTGCATTTGGAGAATTGATGCAAAGTTAAAACGCAACATATTATATTTGAACCTTTCAAAGGGAAACCAAGATACTGATTACAAAAGTCAAAAGGAACATATCAACTAGCCACAAAGTTCCTCTTTGGCAAATAAGTCAAAACCGGAACTAACATACTAGCCCAAAAGTTCCAAAGGAACTTATCAACCAGTCACAAAGTTCCATTTGGAGAATTGATGCAAAGAACCACATGAGGAGGGGGTGTTCTTCCCTCTCTTGAGGGTACTATGAATACTAAATTTGCATGATAATACAACTTATTCCGTTTTATGTGAGCTATGAAATACAACTTAAATTTTGCATATTTGTCCCCAAAGAAACCCCTTTCAGTGCGTTGGGTATTCTTGTAAATTAATGATTTGCTCTTATAATTCTGATACTCATTCTTCCCCCTCTTTCTACAAAAAGGACGAAATATGGTATATTCGAAACGATGTAACTAGTTGTTCTGTTCCGCCAGAACTATTCAACTAGCTACATTGTTCCGGGACTTTTCAGCTAGCTACTTTTTTCCGGAACTTTTCGACTGCACTCGGAATAAAACAACTATTTGGAAAGTTCCATCGGAACATAGTGGCTGTTACATATGTGCTTTTGATTATGCCATTTGATAAGGGACTTTCCGTTTTGAATTTTCCTCGGAGTTCAGTATTTTTGTGATTTAACTTTTTACCCTTTTTCTCTGATTACTTTTTCCTATTTCAGTTAGTAAAAACTTGTATAAACCATTGCCTCTAAGTCATCTTAATACATATACTGTAAAAAATCATGTAATCATTTAGTGGCATTTTAAAGTTATTGGTATTCATGTTATGATACAAATAGAAAACTTCAGTCAAAATTGTGTGTTCCTAAATTATTATTGAATTAAAAGTAAACTTGACAAAAAGTTCTACATTGATTTAAAATGAACTTTTAATTGATGAATTTTCTGTAAAAGTACAATAAAGTTTGTAAGTACAACTTACTTCAACTGATATTTACCCATCACAATGCTTTACCAATTTGTTATTAATTAATATGACTTAATCAATATTGAGTGGGTGTGACTCAATACAACAGACAACTTATATATACACCTAACCTGAGGGTCTGGATGGTGTTTACAGAATAGATAATAATCCTTATGGGCAAAAAATGCAGAATAAAGGGCTAACAAATAAAAGAATAAAAAATGACTAATAATAAAAGGAGAATAATGGGGTGTTAAAATACAAAGAATAAAGAATAATGAGCAAAATAGATAAAGAATATAGGAAATGGTATAAAAAAGAATAAAGAACTGAAGGACCCCCAGCAGGACTCATACATTATAATAATAATACTTACATTGTGAAGACCTCGTATTTGATATTATAGAAACTATACTCTTTAGGCGTTGTTAACATGTTAACTTATATGTGCCAGGTGTAAATCAAATCTGAAAAATAAGTTACAATAATTACTGAAAGGTTTCAAACTAAATTTTATACACTCCAGATTGTAAATAAACATAATTAAGATTTATGTGAATTGTTTTAAAACATGCTTGTCAAAATTCGAAAAGATCTACACAAAGAAACATGGACTTCAGATACACATTTTTATAATGAATCAATATTACAAACAAACATTTTATATAATCTAATGACTATAAACATAAGAAATATGAACAAATTAATAAAGACAAAAATTTAAATGTACTCTAAAAGGGATGATTTAAAATGATATGATGATGACTATCAGATTTAAAACCATAAATGAAAAGTTGTTTATGAATTATGGCCATGATAATAAATAATAGTTCTCACATATCATAACATCTCATGTGCCTGCCTAAGCAATTTTATTAAATGTAGGCAAGCCATAGCCATTAGTATGATGCATCCAAAGAGTCATGTATGCATATATTTTTAATAATTTTTTGGGGGTTTTTGTAATATATTATAATTGGAATAAACACCTAAATAAGAAATGATTTTGCATGTGCTATCAGGGCAATCTGAAGATTCATGTTCAAATTTACCTAATAGATCTTTACAAAAATGTTTAGGTGTTTGCCTCCAACATAAATTCGAATTATATGACATGCATACGAGACAAATTAAGGGGAAAGGGGGAATTAAGGGGAAAACTGGCGGGCATGGTGTTCGGATTTTTTTTACAAATCCCACTCCTTACATTGCATTGTTGTTGACCATTAAGAGCCCATATCTAAAATATTAGACCCGCATCTGTGCATGGCAGGTCAGTCTGCAAAATGTCGACATAAAGTAATTTAGTTAATGGTCAATGAAGATATGATTGTTTATAAGCGAGTAAAATAGTGTTAACGGGCATAAATCATTCATAGGAAGTTTGTCTATACAGTATTCAGACTGCCCTCGTCATGTTGACAGCGAAACGTGTAACGAATAACCACATTTTTAAGTAAACATTGCGGCTTTCTCTACAGACTACATTCATACTTAATCGTGAATGAAATGAATATCGACGATCCTCGGCAGTAGAAGTTTTTTAAAACAAACTTACCTCAAAATATAAGCAACACACTTCTATATTACCGTGTTTTTATTGGACTGATGACACTGACTTCTATGATAACTTGGTCCACAATCAGCTGTTCCTGACAAGCTCAGAATTGACGTTGACGAAACGTTCTAGCCAATCACGTGTCGAATAGTTAAGAAAATGACGTCAGATTTAGATTGCGATGCAAACACCGAAAATCATTGCCATTTTTTTTAAAAACTGCATTAACCTGCCTGCGTTAGAAGTTCATGGCGTATAAATATTAAAAAGAATACCGCACAACCCTTTTTTTTTGACCTTTGAAAAATAGTAGTGCATGTGAAATTTCCATCCCAGGGTATGATGTTTGTCGAAACGTCGTAGTTGAGGTGGGACCGTTGTCGTTGTAAAAGGAGTTCATTATATGAAATTGCATTGACTATATTCAATAACATTTTTAAGTGATTAAGGATTTATCCATGACAAATATATCATATAGATTAGTTGAAATTCATTTAAAACATTAATTCTAGTATATATGTAGACCAAGTATGTCCTTTTGGAGAAAGAGCTTACTAAAGGATATGACGTATATATATATATATATATATAAACAACCACACATTTTAACATCAAAAGGAATGAAATAAGCGGTCCGTCTCTTTTTCATCTTTCAGTGACGTTGAAGATTTGAATTGTTTTGTTAGGTTTTCTGATAAGCTGCATTGATAATAAGCTCTTCTGGAGCATCTGAGATTTTCCCGAATTTTTGGAAAGGTTCCTGGTGCTTAGCATTTAGTATTTTGTTAAATATTGTTTATTCCTTTGTCGTTTTTCGTATTTTTCAATGATATCGTCAGCTTTCTTCGACTTCTTATTTTTTATTGTCCCTTTGGTGTATTCAATATCTTTTTTTATATCAAAGATACATGTATTTATAAATCTGTGACTTTCCAAACTTTGGGTTTTAACATTCCTTATAATAGTGAATTCAGAGAAGCGTTTCGGAGGCTCATGACTCAAATGTTTAAATTGGTCAATGGTATTCGTATCTAAATTGTGCTTATGAACCATATCTTGTGATAAAGAATCCTAACTTATATGCTACTATATTTGCATATGAATTTCAAAGCATGGTTCGATGATAGTTCCATTAAATGGTGTCATTTTAATGTAGCTCGTGTTGCTAAATTTTTGTTTTTGTTCACTGTTGATTTTTTAACTGTCCTTGTTCTTTTGGGAATGGTGTTGTACTAGTAAGGCATTGAAGAGTTATTTTGAGTTCAATGCGTTCACAAAAATTGATGATTTCAAGCTTTTTTTTTCTTCTTCTTCTTCAGAAAAGCATGTTAGATTTTTATCTAGAGGCGATCAAAATGATAAAGTGTGGACTGACCAGCAAGTTTTTGCTCTTGATTGTCATACCCGTATGCATGGTTATAAGTATGTAATTGGAATAGATAGAGACGAATTCGTTTTACCAAATATACGAAAATATGGATTATCTTTAAGAAGAGTTCTTGTAAGTTTATCACTCAATACCTTTATCAATTATACTTTTGTTCATTTAAGATTACATTAAGAAACATGATAATAGATATAAGAAGATGTGGTATGAGTGCCAATGAGACAACTCTCCATCCAAGTCACAATTTGTAAATGTAAACCATTATAGGTCAAAGTAAGGCCTTCAACACGGAGCCTAGGCTCACATCGAACAGCAAGCTATGAATGGGCCACAAAAATGACTAGTGTAAAAACCATTCAAACAGGAAAACCAACGGCCTTATCTATATAAAAAAACGAGAAACGAGAAACACTTATGTACCACACCAACAAAGGACAACCACTGAACATCAGGTTCCTGACTAAGGACAGGTGCAAACAAATGCAGCGGGTTTAAACGTTTTAAAGGGCGATAGCCTTCACCCTATCTAAAACAAAAGTGTAACATCACAACATAGAAAGACACACTATAAAATATAAATTGAAATGGCTTAACTCAATCAAAAAACATATTAACAAAAACAAGTAATAGTTCCTTTTAACTGTTATGTTTCTGAACAGTTCATATTCCAACACAGAATAAAAGAGCCCGATACACTACAAGTCAACAGATTCTAAAATGACCAATTTTTGTCTAAATATTTTTGAAATGTGTTTTAACATTTTGAAAAGTTTCAAGTCCCCTTATTTTTCTAAGTACTGTCTTAATTTTGTTAAATTTGTTTTAACATTCTGAAAATTATTAATTTTCCCTAATGTTTTTAAACTGTCTAAAATTTTCTTAAATTATTCTTATTCTAATTTTGTGTTCTAAAAGTCTGAAGACTGTTTGTTTTTGTCTCAGTATATTCTTAACCTTCTTAACACCCTGCTATTGTGTGGTAAATTCACTAAAAAAGTCATTAGGTTTGTAAATGAATAATTTTTGTATGAATCTTATTTTAACATTCCGAAAAGAATGATTAATGTATGACTTTGTCACAACATATTTGTAGCATTCTGAATTATTCTTAACAAATTCTTAACGTTAAAACATATATAGTCTCAACAGATTCTTAACATTTTGGAATATGTATTTAGATGAGAGGTACGTAAATCAGCGCCTCTAACGGAAAACTGGAAAAATTACGTTCGTTGTTATGAGAGTTATTTCCCTTACACCAGAAAGAATATTTTCAAGATGTCGGGAGATTCCGCATCGTCGGAAAAATGGACAATTACGGTGGAACTGTACTCAATGCACTTCATCAACATTTATCACAAAGTGCAGTTATAGGACATAAAATTTCTTGTCTGAGTGAAACAGATCTTCCCTCCCAAGAAAATGAAAATAATATATCATGGCGTGATGGTCGGAGAGTGGTTAAGTTAGATTTACTGGCTGACCAACTAATATCCACCCCCACAAGTCTATAAGAGAAAACTTACACGGTCTCGGAAGTATCTTATATATACCTTGTTGCAACTGTCCCTACACTAACTTATAAACATTGTAAAACGGCACAGATTAGACTTTAAAAAAGGGAATTCAATGTTGATACGGACCGTGAACACAAAATGAATAAAAAAAATATAAACACACGCATGTACACACATACAAACGTAATAGAATAAATTAAAGCTTATACTATAAGGTTTATAAACTTTTTAAAGACATTTCTGTCTACTATTGTCTATCCTGTTACTGTAACCATAGCAACCATAGTAACAGAATAGACATAACAGGATGGACACATTTCTTCATTTTTGAATGATGTTGTGAAATAACTACTCCCTTTGATGAAGTGATAATGTTTTGCTGTTGTGATTTTGGTTTCCAACACGTTATTGCACTTTTTACAAGTATAACATGTATAATATTGGTGTAATATATAAATATGTTGGTAACAGCATAGACATGACAAAAGGGTACCCACTATTTTTTTTCACTAAATGTCTTGAAATTTCTTTTCCCTACACTGTTATACAAGAAACGTGCTGTGTTTAATGTTTAGGTTACTTTGCGCTTTTGAAATCAACACTGACTACTTCAATATTCAACGGGAGAACAATTTAACGGTTGATTTAGGTAGCGGTAACAGGATGGACATGATGGACATGAACTTCATGTACGCTGATTGAATTTAGTTTGTACAAAAAATGTTACATATAATAATACAGAAGCTGCGATTTTTCGTTAGAGTTATTATTAACATTCTAAAAAAGACCCATTTGCAGATAGCAAGGCAATCAGAAAATAAAAAAACAAAAATCATTTGGAATGTGTTACCCTGACACTGTATGCACATAAATTACGCAGAAATCGGACTTAAATATAGTTTAATCTTATCAAAATAGACCTAAATAGTGTTTATTATCAATTTTCTGACTCATAAATTCTACAAACTTTCATTTACAACTTAAACACTTACAACTGCATTTTCAATTAGAAATAAAAAATTTAGCAAATGTGTACTGAAAAACACTTTTTGAAAATGACCCATATACAGTTGCATAAGTAGAAATAAATTCGTCTCGCAAAACAACTGACAACACTATTCAATTTTTATGTTATGCTTATTACTGATATTTTTGATATTCATGCTAGTTTACTTTTATAAATTTTGACTTGGATGGAGAGTTGTCTCATTAGCACTCATACCACAACTTCTTATATCTATGGATTATGACATTTTAAGTATGATTTGAAGTTCATAATTATCAAAACCGTTGTTGACAGTGCTTTCTTTCACGTCCGCAATGCGGTCTAAAAATAGAAATAGAAAGTACGCAGAGTAAAATTGCATTTACATTGCAAATATTTAAACAAAAGTATTATTTTTTTTTTGTGAATGTGGCATGAATTTTTAAAGTAATGTTGGAAATTACTGCATTAGTGTCAGAGAGGGAAGAAGAAAAGAAACTTGAATGGAAATCGTAAAAGGGGAGAGGGGAGGGGGCCTTGTAAACGGACGAACGGGAAGTAAAATGGCAATTTCAAGATGAAAGAAATATATATAAAACATAGCTTACATGTTGAATGATAAGATTCAAGCACGAAAACATGCGAAATAAAAATTTCAAAACCGTTGCACGAAAATTACCATTTATCATCGCTTTTTAATATTAAAAATGAACACCAAAGTTCATATATTATACTGAAACTTCAAAAAAGAATTGCTAGCATTTATTTTTGCATTTTTTTAAGAATGGAAAAAATCAAGTGACTATTTATTTCTGAAATAAAATTTATGTAACAAATTTTTCAATAAACAGACCATGAATATATTTAAAAGTATCCAAGCAATTTCACAAGCGATGATCATGCTTTTCGTATTCTGAATTATGACATTCCAAGTATGATTTGAAGTTCATAATTATCAAAACCGTTGTTGACAGTGCTTTCTTTCACGTCCGCAATGCGGTCTAAAAATAGAAATAGAAAGTACGCAGAGTAAAATTGCGTTTACATTGCAAATATTTAAACAAAAGTATAATTTTATTTGTGAATGTGGCATTAATTTTTTAATGTAATGTTGGAAATAACTGCATTAGTGTCAGAGAGGGAAGAAGAAAAGAAACTTGAATGGAAATCGTAAAAGGGGAGAGGGGCCCTTGTAAACGGACGAACGGGAAGTAAAATGGCAATTTCACGATGAAAGAAATATATATATAAAACATAGCTTACATGTTGGACGATAAGCTTCAAGCACGAAAACATGCGAAGTAAAAATTTCAAAACCGTTGCACGAAAATTACCATTTACCATCGCTTTGTAATATTAAAAATGAACACCAAAGTTCATGTATTATACTGAAACTTCAAAAAAGAATTGCTAGCATTTATTTTTGCATTTTTTAAGAATGGAAAAAATCAAGTGACTATTTATTTCTGAAATAAAATGTATGTAACAAATTTTTCAATAAACAGACCATGAATATATTTAAAAGTATCCAAGCAATTTCACAAGCTTTTCGTATTCTGAATGGACGGGAAGAATTTAACAAATGTCGGCACATACGATTTATGTAAATCAACTATCCTACATTTATGCAAAAATATATGTTTAACCTATTTAGATACAGGAATGGGTCCACGTCAGACAGTTTAATTACTTGCTGACATGAAAATTCTATCAATTGAAGTAAAGAATTTCAAAGAACGAGAAAGTGAAATCGGAAAAACAATAGAAAGGTATTCAAAACTTTTATAAAATCTGTAGGATTTAGAGCTTGACAATTTGTATACACACCCTTCCAGTTTTAAAGATGTCCTGTAATCATTTTGTCGTCATATTGTTGTTCATTGACGTACATATCACACTGATTGAAAAAATAAGTTCTAAATGCAAAGGATTTTATTTAACCAATAGAAAACACTAATTGGTCAGTACATGTACTATTTTTTATAGACAAGATAATGATGCTCTTTAGGACAATAATTCAGAAGAATAAATTATCATCAAAGAGACACCTTTATTCAGCGGTCGTTGATTCGTACTGATTGTTTCTTGTGATAATATTTTAAGTTGGTAGACAATTTTTCTGCTGATGGAGACTTGACGTCACGAAGTCCATTTGGCGACGTCCTGCTATTTCAACTTTTTTTACACCTGCAACACGTTTTCGACGGCTGATATATAAAAAAAGGTTGATATATACAAAAAAGGAGTTCGGTATCTCCATAAATATTATACACCAAAAGAAAGGAAATTTCCATCCGAACAACATTTATTTCGATAGAAAAATCGTAGGATTAGTTTTCACGGCAGAATAAATCAACCATTAAATTTCAAATTTTTAAGGTATATTTGACGTTATGTCAATGTATGTGATAGTGGTTTCCTTACATTTTCAGACGGCTGTTACTCTGAAAGTAGATCGGTTACCTTCTTAATTTTTTTGATTTTTCAATGTATTTTTCAAAGTTCTAAGTGTATACAATTTCTTTTCAAAAATCGCTGCACAAGCCATTTATGTACCGGTTACCATTACTGATTTTTTTAGGAATTAATAATTCTACGTTTTTACAACAACT